GAGGAGGAGAAAGCAAGCCTAACCCTTCGAAACGACAGACGTTCAGCAGTCAAGGCAACTCCGGTCAAAGCAGCAGGGCGTTGGTGGGAGGGTACGCTAGCAGCAACAACAGTGGGGGCAGCTCTGCTGCGAGTTTACCGCCTTCCCCTCCACCGATGGCTAGGGTTCCGCCGCCGTTGTTCGTCTCGGCGCCCCGGTCTCCGCCACACGCTAGCCCTGCCGTGGGGGCTCAAGGGCAAGATATGGACCGGCGATGCCTGGAGTGGGTGGTTGAGCCGGCAGATAGACAGATTCTCTCCTGGCATGACTGAGTGGTGGGAGACGGTCGACGGTGATCGGGCCTTGCAAAAGATAGCAACGCTGGCATTCAGATTCGGTGTTGGGAGGCACTGCGATCCGTCCGTCTCACTTGATGTGCCTTGGCTACTAGAGGCGGCCTCGTGGGATCGGTGTGGTGAGAGGACCAGCAATCGTAGGTGGGTAGCAATACTTGTGTGGCAACCCAAAAACCTTTGGCGTCGCAGATACCCTTCGGTTTGTCGCGGTGCGATCGGCGGTGTCGCAGTCACAATTATATCATCACCAAGAAGGGGTTACATCACCAAAAGGGAGGTGTGGCGTTGCGCCCAAACGTAGAGGTGTGGCGTTGTGTGTGCGTGTTTGGTCTCGTTGGTTTGGGTGGGTTGTCCAGCTTGTCCGGAAGGTAAGTGTTTGAACGTGTGTTGTTGTGTCCAAGTCGCCTATCTACAACTCTCTTGGAGATTTGTAAGGTAAGGTTAAGATTGTTGTTATGCGGTGGTCCCTTCCTCAAGATAATCCACACTGCCTCAACTGTATAGTACTATTATAGTGTTAAAGTGATGTGGATCGTCGAAAGACGTGAGTGACCCCAAAGGTTAGTGTGGCTTGTTTCTTGTCGCTCAAATTTGTGAGATGGATCGATTTGTGATTCATCCTGCCGATGCAGGCAGTCTAAAGAGATGCCGTGTTCGCTTTTGACGTTAAGTGCAGGAAAAGGGGCGATTTGCTGCTCCCTCCTGGTGCATGTGGACGGACTCGTCGTTCGGATAAACAGTCAAACTAAAATTACAGTGTGACCCTCCCCGTGAAAACGAGGGTCGCTGTTAATGAGAGAACCCCGGGTGAGCATGATTGGTCCACCTGGAAGACGAAGACTGCTTTTGCGTCGAGTCCTTCGTTGACGACTGTGTGCTATGCACAGACTTTTCCGGAAACGGGCGAACTACCTCTGTTGAGTTTGGTGAACAAATTATCCTGCGTTGGTCGCCTGCCACTGGACAAGGTGAGCTGCCGGTACAAAGCCTAAGCCTTGTCGCTCTTGCTTTTTGTTGTGATTTCAAGAGTCGTTGTGAAAATAAATCCCGGGCATTGCTACGAGGCAGCACTTTTATTACGGGAAAACACCCACCATGAAGTTTTTTTTGCATTTTGTGTTTTCACAGCCGAGGTCGGGGCCATGGTCCCTTCTGAGTGAACCCGACCGAATGAGTTTCACGCGATTGAGGAATGATTTGTGCGACACCGTCGTGTAGGGTGAAGCCAACGCTCATTGCTCGTGCGTTGATGCCGCTTCAGCGTTCAAGGTCATTACCTCCTCGCCGCTGCGAGCATCGCGCCCTCACGTAGCAGAGCACGACCCCGCCATCGATGATCTTGGTGGGGTCTCGATGCCTCATGGACAATCAACCCATGGTTGTGCATTACGGACTGGCCATTGAATGTTGCGAGGCGGAAAAAAAACTCGTTGAGGGATGGGTTTTCCATTGGCACACCACCAGGCATTTGATCGCCCCCCGCTACCCGGTTCGATAAACGTCCTCAGCATTCAAGAGGGGGTCGTCACTGACGGTGAAGGAACCAAACCTCTCTCTCTGCCTCGAAATGTCTGTAGGTGTACGTAGTCTGCTAAAGTCCGGGGGGTGGGGCAAGCACTCACGGACAAGCAGTGGAACGCCGGAAAAAAGGTTGCTGCAAAACATGCCTTATCGTGTTGTTCAACGAACTGATTCATTGGCATTAGGACGAGACATGGCGTGTGGTCCTTGCTTGATTGTGTGTGTGTTTTCGGTTCGACGCTCTTTCGGTGCTTTCAATGGCTCTAAGCACGCAGCAGCTCTAACTTACTTAGAGGCTACAGCCGCATAGCAAACTTCGGGACACGCGACACGGAAAGTAACCGACACACCAAATTGTCAATGTTTCCATTGGTTTGCACAGCAACAGAGAGAGGATTCCACGACTATTGTACCGTCAGCCAAGACGGGCGGGCACCACACACACACCCAGTGTTCCAACAGTATGCTTGTGCCTCCAACGAACACCAAAGTATGCTGCCGTCGGTGCATGCCAACCGAATGATTGTGGCTGCCTGCGTGAAACCGCGCAAGCTGCTGCAGGATAAGCAGAGCCAAATAAGAAACAACCAAGGCCCTTGCCGCCACCATAACCCTTGCGAATTACACCGCCGCGCGCGCTCCACTCATCTACAACTCCACACCCAAGCGTTTGGCAAGACCAAAACAGCAGCACTTGAATAGGCCAAACGCCAAACTCCCTACCGGTTACATTAGGTTAGGTTAGGTCAGAAGGCGTCGTGTTCTCGAACGGCCGTCGCAAAGGGGCCACCGCTTGCCAGCAAGTCATCCCACCGACCCGACTCCGACACGCTCCCGTCCTCCAAATACACGGTGGCGTCGGCCCATCTCCCAAGGGAAAGATCCTGGCTCGCCACTACCACAACCTGCCACCACAGAAAACGCAGTGTACGATGTGGTGTAATGTAGGCGATTATAGAGGGGAGCAAGATCATCCACGGAGATGGTGGATTTGGCTTGGCAAGAGGTCGAAGACGTGGTTTGTTTCTCCTGCTTTTTTGTTCCAACAGTAGCGCACCAAGCGTGTTTTTCTGCATGGTTCATGCACGGCAAGTACACGACCATTTAAAACCGACTCGATCTATCTTCTGCGATATTTCCACGCCCCTTGACACCGCCCCCGTCTGCAAGGTGATCGCAGCCCCATGTGTGTTTTACCCCTGTCGGCAATAAACCGCAGTTGCTCTAGAACCACGGCAAGAGCAAAATAAAAAGAAAAAAACGCATTCCGTTGATACATCGAGCAGCAGACCAGACTGAACGCGCATCAGTTGGGCATGTGCGAATATTTCAAGGTTCTGTTGCAAGCAGAGAATAGAACAGTTCTTCATGCAAAGGCCACAGCAACAACTACAATAACAACAACAATAACAACTGCATCCTCCGTTCTACCAATTGTTTACGTGCGCCACCATCGCTAGTGTAGCTGCTTGCCACCCCGGTGCCTGCCTCACCTGGCCAGTTGCTCGGGCTTGCGCGCCCAGTGCCGCCAGCATTCTAGAGGCTTCGGAGGGGCTAACCCCTTTGAAAGGCTCATCGAGTAACAACAGCTTGGCTATATCGGCTCGCATCAAGAAACGCGCCAGCTGCAACCGCTGCCATTCCCCTTCAGACAGTCCAGACCTGCCACGCCAAGCGGAGGGAGACGTGAGAGGTGAGGGGGTTAGACATTTAAATGCGAGGTCCAGAAGACATATATTGAACCATCGTAAGGCATGCATGCCATACCGTGCTATTCTCCCATGGTATCCGCTTCCAACAGCGTTTGAGGATTATGTCGATCTCATGTTGACTTGTGAGGTGGGATGACCTGGTTGAACCAACTCGATCCTGCAGGACTGTCAAAACCGCCACGAAAATCGGCAGGCCTGGCGCACCCCGTACACCGACAAATTAACCTGAAACCCGTGTGATACCACATGGCACCCTTCGGTAACCCCTCACATGGTCCTGGTCTCTACCCATTCAAAGAGCCATGTGACGACGAGGTGCGACTTGTGCGGGTACATGAGGTACATGAGGTACATGAGATGTACACAACGGGAGCGAGGTAGAATGAGGTAAAACAAGGTACAACGGGCGGCTTTCTTAGGGGTGCAAATCGAACACATTCCCCTCAGGACCATGACTACTACACACATGTTATCGGCGCCTCCACCGTGATGCCGACTCTGACGGAAAATTCACGGCGATTGGCTAACAATGACCCCACGGAACCCCCCCCCCCCTCCAACTCAAATGATTCCACCACCAGGCAATCCGGTACACTCACCCCAAACCCCCCGCTGCCGCCGCCGGCCCTCCCCCATCCTCTAGCAGAGTATCGTACCCCAGCGGCAAGGACTCTATCGCGGTGTTGGCGCCGCTAAGACCTGCCGCTCTCGCCCATAGCTCTCGGTTAGAAAACTCTGAGGGGTCGCCAGCCCCGATGTTCTCGCCCGCCGTTAGGCCGAAACGGCCAGATACCTGTACAGCAATACATGTGGGCAGGGGCCGGGGTGGGTGTACTCATAGTCGTGCATGCCGTAGTCCTTAGGCCATTGACCTCGTATCCCTACAAAGCCGGGACGGAGCACGCCGGGTTCTCTCACATCACCAAGCGCGAAGCGCCGTGAGGTATTCGGGGAGGCGCATGAAGGGTGCGCTGCATCCTGCTGAGGTTGTTCGGCATCTTGTGCTTACTTACTTGCGTACGGATGACAGCTGCGTACATGACTTAATTTGTTTTCTGGTGCTTTCACTTCCAGAGACAGTTGTAAGCACTGTGTAACTGCCTCGAGGGTGCTTGACCATTTTAACACAACGTGGTGCGATCATCCCCCTTGCGCGGAGCGAGGGTTCTCCACCCCGCACAACATGATCTACTCGGCCACCATTATGGTTACCGCCAAAAAAAAAAAACGGAGATAAAAAAACAAAAACGGTAACCTGGTTGCCGAGTTCACGAAATGATTTGGCTTGTTTTACAACGTCTTTGCCAAGCGATGAAAACCCAACCCCGATGGNCCCTGTGCGTCCCCATCTATATTTCCCAGCTCAGTCACGTACACTTCCCTCTCCTTGTACCACGGACTTTCCGCGACTACATGAACACGGTCTTAGCATTCCAAGCCGCAATCACATTTGAACTCGTCGTCTTCGTCGTCTACCGTCCTATGTCTTCGTCGACGTTCTCGAAGGCCTATGTCCCCGGTCCTGAATTTGACCTTAAGCTTTGTTCCTGCATCCATTGGTCCATGTAGGTAGTCCTTGAACCCTATTCCTTCCTTCAACATTCCGTACACTTCTAGACCCTCCTTATCCTTGGATTCTTTCCTTAGATTCTGTTCTTCTCTCTCGGCACAAGCAACAGATATCTTCTCCTTGAACCCCTGTAGACCCTCCGTTTCCAGCGTTTCATCTTCTTGTCAAGCCCCTTCCTTCCATACGTCCTCTACAACCTTGACCCATCCCGTGGGTTGTCTACCTCTCTTTTTGTTTGCCCACTTCGCCTCCCATACAATTCTCGGCAACCTCTCCTCTCCCATCCCGCACATGCGATACTGCCAGGTCAGCTTCCTCGCGTCTCTTCCCGACCGTAGGGATTGGATCCCCAATTCTGCCCTCACGGCTGCATTACTTGTGCGCCTGGAGCATCCTAGGATGGTTTTCGCTGCTTTCATCTGCGCCGCCTCGAGTTCTTTCACTACCTTCTTATTTCCTTCCCATACTTCTCCGGCGTACTCTAGCGGCGGTACGATTACGCTCTTCAAAACCGTCAATTTGATGCGTGTATCGAGGTGCCGGTTTGCGAGTATTGGGTGCAGCTTCCCTGCTCGTGCTTTGCCCTTTTCCGCTACCTTGGACATGTGTGCATTCCACGAGCAGTCTTTTGCGATCTCTACTCCGAGGTATGTGCACTGGTCCACTACTGCAATCTCCTCGATCCCCCACCTCCATCTATGTTCTNCGCAAACAACATTCCTGAAACCGACGTTTCCATGTCCCCTACTTTTACTCCCTTCCGGACTGCCTCTACGACTTCCAACAGATCGTTGATGAACACCTGGAACAATGTTGGGGACAGCGTGCAACCTTGTGGGACCCCCTGCTCAATGTCGAAGAATTTTGACAGTTCTCCGTCTANTTGCTTCGTGTGGAGGGGGGGGTAACTCATCCGTGTATACTCGATTAAGATTGAGTGAGGCAACCGACTATGTCAGAGAGAGATTCAGATTGCAAGCGCTGGGACTAAAGCCTCAAACAAGACGAGAAAACGCGATTACGTGAGCCGTATTCGATGTCCAGGTCTCAACTTCCGAGCATCCAAGAGTATCGTAGGGAGGAAGAACGGCATATACCATCATCATTACCATCAACATCATCATCATCATCATCATCATACCGCGTCAAGGTCACATATCATCATGGTATACCCCGAGTAAGCTATCGGTGCTGCGGTGGTTGCGACTACGGAATTACACGGAGATCCAGCTTTGACATGGAAGACCGTGTCAACTGTCCAAGTAGCAACAGCTATAATACATCAAACAACCCAACATCGACACAAAATCAAAATGAACAGCAGACAGACTTGCCTGGCTGAGCCAGGCGACCCGTTCTCGGTAAGCTCCAGTCTCCCACTCCTGCAGCGGTCGTCCTTGGAACATGGCCTCTCCCTCGTCCGCCTTCATTAACCCCAACGCAAGCTGGAGAAGCGCCGTCTGAAACGGCGAAAGTAGACGGTTTGTCGCGCAAAGCCGCCAGGCAGCGAGAAGAGCGAGAGTGTTGAGAATGTTAAGAAAGCCGAAAATATCGAGATTGTCAATAACGTGGAGAATGTGAAGAACATGGAGAATGAGAACAAAGTGGAGGGTGTGGAGAACAGGACGAATTTCAAGAATGCCGAGAACATGAAGAGTGTGAAGACTGTCAAGAACGTCAAGAATGTACAGAATGAGGAGAAGATTGAGTGCGTCAACAACGTCAAGAACATGTGGTATATGTCAAGAACGTCGAGAACGTCGAGGCAAGTGACACGATGCAGCCTTCAGCGCACGAGTTCCACGCATGAGCATCACCAGCTACTAGTGTGCACCCGTACATCAAATGGTCTACAAGGCTCACCTTCCCCGCGCCCGCCCCGCCAAGCACTGCCACCACCGACCCTGCCGGAGCGTGCAGATCCACGGAAGAGAGGGCCTGCCGTGTTCTGCCGCTCGGTCTAAAGGACACCCCGAGTAGCCTTAGCCCATCATCAGCTTCGGGGCCATCGTTCGACCAGCCCCCCTCAGTTCCTAGCCCGGTGTCTTTCTCACCGCCGCTGTTTGGTTATTTGGTTACCGCCACGAGCAAGGCGGGAGGGTTGGGGGAGTCGTGGGGATGTTTGGAGAGGATGAGACCTACAGGAAAATAAAACCGCACACGAAAAAAAAAAAAGGAAAACAGTCTAGAAAGAGACAGTGTGGTCGTGGTGGGAATGCCGAAATGGCACGACACGGCAACAAAAAAACGATTGAACTTGACTTGACGTAAATTCATGGTGTAGAACGAAGACCTGTGCCCTGTGAGGGAGGAGGGTATGATCGTGAATGTTCGCGTTGCAGCAGTGCGTCTAATTGCCGTGTTCATCCATCTCGTGTCGGCGATTTCGTCAGTGATCGTCTGGAGACGTGCAAGCATGACACGTCTTTCTGCGACGGCCCAAAACCTGGAGACCATGCTCCGAGCTTCCCTCAACACACACAAGGTGAAGGCACTTGGGTCAACACCAAGACCTTAACAACACTTGCCAGTGCTCGAAGGGAAACGCCCAAAGCGGAAAACGACAACCAACCGGGAACACTATGCTTGGCTTCATATTGCCCGACACTAGCCCACATCCTTGGGAGTACAAAAACACCAATAATACTCGCACCTAGAAAGCCTTTGCATCGTAGCTAATGTATTGCACCAGAAACACATGATCAACTCACCTGTTTTCAGGCCATGCCAGGGCGATCGCCTGCATCCTTGCCGCGGTAGGCCTCAACCTCGCCACCTGGCCGAGGCCACTGAGAGCACCCTGGAGACTCGCGTATGCTAGCCACACCTACGACGAAAACCGGACAGGAGTGTACGAATTACTTGAGTTTTGGGGGTGAGGGTTACGCTACGCCAACAGCTCCGGCGGCCCGACCAGACGCTCTCTCGCACACCTCGTTACATGAAGCAGCAACGATTTTATTCGACGGCTACATACCCGAGAGTTCAGAGAGAGAGAAGGAGGGCGGTCTGGTGCTGACATTGCCGCTCGCAATGCCTTCTTGACACAAAACACAAAACACTGGATTGATCCCTGCAGTGGCGGCCACGGTTTAAGAGAGGGTCGTGAAAAGCCAGCATTTCTCTCTTACATCCGGTTGTCTCTTAAAACCGTACTGTGAAATGTGTGTATTTCTCATGGTCGTGACGAGCCAGTTTGACTCTCTTAAATCGGTACTTTCGCTTAAATAGCCTTTCCTCAACCGTAGCCGCCACTGTATCCAGCCAGCACCCTCCTCAGGGCACACCGCGTCAACCCGATCCCCCCTCGATTTGGTCATATCCGACCGATTTTATTCCCCACACGCCACACACACAATCTTTACCCGCCGTGGTGCGTTGGCTACCTGGGTGATGACCAGGGTGACTCGAGCAGTGCCGAACTGGAACGCCAACTCTTCTTCCACAACGGAAACCAGGGCATATACCGCGAAGGCAGCCATCACGAGCCATGTCACGGACCCCCTGACAACGCTGCGGGTGGTGATGATTCGTGATTTTCGACCCTCCTGGTGTTCCGCCGCCTCCAGTACAGCAGAATATTTTGAAAGCAAAACCTGGTAAAAGTAGAACGCCAAGGGCGAGAGGAGGTGGCAACGGCAGGGGGGAAGGGATGGCATCAGCATAGCGAGGACAACAAAATCGGCCCATACCATCAACGGCAACAAAATCAACAGCACATTTTGAAATCATCCCACATTGACAACGAGACTAGATTCAGCAAACAGAACAACTAGAACCACACAAACAAAAAAACAACCACAACATCAACAACAGTTGGAAATACAGGCGGCAGAGCCGGTGCATCCAGTACACTACACTGCCCTGCACTACACTACACTACGCTACACTACACTACACTAGAGTAGGGGGAAATCCTGAATCCTAAATCTCTCGTAATCTCTCGTATAGTAACTAGACTTGCCGTCAACCATTACGTTCCGTTTCCAAGTCAACCCCTCGTGCGGAAAAAAGAAAAAAATGCAAATCAAGTCAAGCGACGAAAAGTCACTCTGTCCGAATACCCCCAAGCATGGCCGTATCCTCGAAGTATATTGTCTTACACACCCTTTCACGCAAAACACGCCTCTTCTGTTGCTGCCTGTTGCTGCCAGCACGCCACAAAGAAAGTGGAAACGCCCGCAACACATTTCTCGTTCTTTGCAACATCACTCTCACGTGCCTATGAGACCTCGGAAATTGAATAACCCATGAGCGCTGCTATGCATACGTTGGTTAGACCCGTCGCAAATTAAAGGCGTGCGGAAATATTGTATGTACCTGTCTAAGGCCGCGCGCTTCAGCCTCGGCGCTAGCGACTGCACCGCCACTAGCACCGCCGGGGATGCCTCCCGACGGCTCTTCAGGCAGCAACAACAATACCGGACGAGGGAAGGGGTGCCAACATGCAGTCAATGTTGATGAACGATACATAGCACGGTGAAGGTGAGTATCCAAGAGATGCAAGTTTTCATCACGCCCAACGAAAGTGCTCGATGAACGCAGTAGAGGGAAAGGGGCAGCAATTCGAACGAACGCAGCATGCGTGCGGTGACACTGATTTAGATATTATTGGTGAACGTGTTGTTCAGGGTTGGCTTAGCTTTCGGCGCCCTTGAAGAAAATCAGTCCACATAAACTGGGAAGCGTTTGTGCCAACCCACTCCTCTGTGGAAGATATTCGTGCAGCCGTCAGTAGACCGTCAATAGCGCATTCAGTGGCCAGCAGACGTGACATTTGGTTGAATCCGCTAGACGCTCTACAGTACTGCTCTGTGGTACATACTGTAATAAACACCATTAAGGGATGGCAGAACACGAACATGGACGTCGACAAATTTTGAAAACAAACGCAAGAGCACCAGAATGGCACACACGAGAGACACAAGACCAGTCGGAAGGCATTGGGAAAAACAGAAATCGTTCATTCTCGCACAAGGCGGCAGTAGAGGCTTCTCAAAACATACATTTCAGGCGTCTACAGTGTACCTCCCCACGCCTCCTTTGAAATCGAGGTCAAAAATCACACCATCATAAAATCAAGCCAAAAGAGCCAAAACGGCAGGTGCTCAATTAAGCTCTGTGTTACCAGGAACCAGGTGCACAGTATTAATTTCACTAGAGGACACTAGAGGACACTAGAGGACATCCTAGAGCAGCGGGCGGTGCGTGTTGGCGCGCTAAAATCTCCTTCCGTGGAGGTGGTGGTGGTATCGAGCGCCGTTGTAACGGCCTGCAATCTCCGCAAATCTCCGCAAATAAGACCGACACCCGGTGTCTTCTCCTGCTTGTGCTCGCCGCCACTGACCCCAATCTCCTGAACTGCGGTTTCAGCAGTAGCTGGTGCCACTAGCTACTGCTAACAACCCTCAGCTAAGGGGTTTACGGTCTGTGGCGGTGAGCACGGCTGTGACAAATGTTGGATGCCGCCTGGTTTCAGCGCAAATTTCGGGCTGTTTTCAGAGGCTGCCGCGACCTTCGATATTTCAGCTCCAGAAGCAAACCTGAACGTGCCAGCACGCACGACGCCTCTTGATGGTGTCCTCTACTGATATTAGTACTAATTACCAGGTTGCTCAGGCAGCAAGGTTATTTTCTTTCTTAATGTTGGATTAAAGTATGAGAACAAGGGCCAGCGTCAACACCACTATTCTGTCCACCCTTCAACGTACCGACTCAACTCACCAGCAACATCGCTACCACTACCACGGACTTCTGCGGCGCCAGGGTCCTCGGTCGCCAACAACGTGCGGATGCCCTCTAGCAAAAGCAGAACCGTCGCACCTCCTGCATGGTACGAGGTGTGGGATGGCGGTGCAGCAGTGTCAAATTCACCATGGGATGGCGAGGCGTAGGTAGAACATGGCTTCGCATGGTTAGGAGAGCATCGTATCGTCGTCCCGGATCGGTGACGTGCTCATGAGCTGATTGCGACACCCTCAAGAAGAGAGGCTCGCTCCCATCACAAAATAAATGCCACAACGCTATCGATGCCATTTTGTTGATAAAGGCAGGAGGATTAGGATTCGTACCAGGCGTGTCCCACCATGCTGCTGATGGCTACTGTAACGCCAAGGAGGTAGGGTGAGGGAATGCCTTCGTTTTGGGCTCTTGCTCGTTTGTTCGTTCTCGTGACGTCACTACCTGGGTGGTACCGTACCGTACCGTACGTGATACCGTACCGCATACACACAAGACCACACCAAGAAAATACACACCCGGTGGTAACTAACGTTTTGCGACAGCGCGTATTTGTACGAGCGTGTGCGGTATCTTGCCGATTTGAGAGAAGCTCAATGTCTCAGGGTTACCTATGTTGACTAAGGCTTACGTGTGCACATGCTGACAACACCCAACGCGGCTAGGAAAGTGACAAGTGACTGCTCTGCCCTGCCTTTTCTTGGTCTCCTTACTGCACCGCCAACTTACCGCCAAGGGTCACTGGTCCACGAAACGGCCACACCGTTTGCAGCACAGCCACCACCGCCGCCACACCGGCCACGTCCCTCGAGAGCTCCATCACTTGCTGCATGTAGCTCCAGGGGGCAAGGCTAAGCTCGCGGAATTCCGAGGGCGGTGGTTGGTCGATACCTCCCGCCACAGACACGCCCGCCTTTCGCCGAAAAACAAAAACGATTGCCGCCAAAGAAGAAAGAGAACCCGAAGGTTAGCAAGCAAGATACGAGGGCGCAAATCGATGACGAGCGAAAGGGTGCGAGGGTGGCAAGAGAGACGGGTATATGTTGGCTGTATAAATGGCGGCTACATAAGAGTAGGTTTTTCTTAGCCGAGCTCATAACTATAATAGTGCTCAAGTTCTTGATATTTTTTAGGTTGAGCTCGATTTCTTAGCAGCCAAGTTTTCAAGTGCCGGCGCTAGCTCACTGCTGTACAGCGCTACAGTCGGGAGCCCTCTACGTAGTGCGGGTATGTTCGTGCCAAGAGCTTTCATCCACACTATAGCCGGAACCCGCATGATTCCAACATGGTACCCATCTTGATTATTCAATCTGTGCCAGACTATTTCACCCGCACAATACCGGGCACCCACACTATTGACGGTCCCCCGAGAATTCGCCCGTCTCACCAATGCACGGCGGCACAAAGCGGCTGATCGCTCCCGCGCCCTCGGTCTCAGCCACCCCCTCACCACCCCAGCGGCGACGGCCAGCGATAGCCCTGCTCCCGCCTGCTGCCCGAGCAGCTTGAAGCACGCTGACCGGCACTCTCGGTATTGGGACGTCGATAACGTGTAACGGCCCGCGGAGAAATCGGCTAGCTGGTGCATTAACCTACACCAAATGTTGGTTGATGGGGGTAGGGAGATGACCCTTAACGCCCATACAGCCGTAGTGCTGGGCGTTGTCTAATCGTCGATGTATCGAAGACCCTCGCTGGGGATGGGGCCCGTGTATCACTGCCAGAATCTTAGATGGTGGTAGTAAAGGCGATACAACACTAAATAGGGGCATGAAGCGGTGAAAGCATGGGAATGTCGGCCGGAGACGATTACCGGATTGGTGCTGCCAGACCATCTCTCTTCTTTTACACCACGAAACGCAGGCTGATCTACTTGCCCCGCACCGACTTCACGTGTTTGTTTTATCATTCGGTGCTGACCAGTCTATACACAACCTGGTAGCTTTGTATTGCAACAGCAGCAGCAGCAACAACAGCAGCGCGATCGACACGTGTCTTAGCCTGTTATACACAACAATAACCAGCGGGCAGCCTAGTACGATGTACAGAGCGAGGCTGAACCCCAGCCATTGGATTCGCGCGACAAAACATCGGCGGGGTCCCTCATTCCATGACATCATGGCATCATGACATCATGACATTACGAGATCGTGACATGATGATAGATCAACCCCTTCGCCCTCGTCGGCTCACCTAGACACCAGCCACGACATCACCACAGGAAGCACCCCCCTCATGACAGAAAACGCCCACCACAGCAACAGGGGGATAACCCCTCCCGCTCTCGCCAGCAACCTCACGCAGGCCACCGGGGTCATGGAGGTTACAGCCTTGCTGGGGGACGTCATCCGAGAAATCGAACGCCCTGCCACGCTCTTGACGGCGGCAAACACGCCTTCTCCTTCCTGGGGGTTGGGGGGGGTAGGGGAGGGGGTACAAGCGCGCGGGGGGGAGAGGGTACAACGACCCGCCTGTTACGGTTGGAAACACAGAAACTGCTGTGGTGGCGAGAGTTGAAGCCAGCAGCACAGCCGTCCTTTGGTAGGTCAGCAAGCATCGAAAACGCCCTATCGACTGCTGTGCATGGGTGGGAATGGGCTCTTTATGTTGCTGTTGCTGTGTTGTCTGCCATCAGGTATGCACAGCTTTTCATCACAAACATCCGCAATGCCGCACGATTGATCTGATGATTAAGGTTCAAAATTTCCATGTTTTCGCGTTGAGACAGAATAAATGTGCCAGGGGACCGTGAACGACGGGTGCAGCAGTATTCAGGTATGGTAAGTATGACGCGTGTTACCCGCAAAATGGTGGTGCATACGGAGACTGCAGGAAGCTCGCTCGGGAATATTCCACGAACTGTTCAACTTCGGGACACCACGGGCACACACGTATGCGACTCTTCCATAAGCCGCCTGGTACCAGGAAGAGTCCCCAATAGCCCCTCCGTGGTGCCCAGCATCTCGATCCATTTTACCCTTGCCCACTTCTTTTCCTTGCCTAAAACTCACGGAGCAGACCCGCCAGCCGTCGTTGTCATTGCCGTTGTCGTGAAAAAGCCATTTAATAGCTACACTTTATATCTCACCAAGACCCTGGGATTTTGCTTTCAACCACGTCGTCCATCATGCCGAAGGAGCCTTCACAAGTCCTCACTCGACCCACATGAACAAACTAGATTGATCCGTGTGACAGCGGCAACTAAGTTCGATGGCATCACAACGAGCGAAAAACATGACAAAAGAATAAAACTCGGACTCCACCTCGCCGTCTTGAGATGACCGAACTGCGGTGGTAAACTACACGTATTTCCAGGCATGGCGGCCACTACAATCAGGAGCGTCCTTATGCCAACACAGCACGGTAGCAAGTCCGATGCAATCATACAAAGCCCCCCCACTTACCGTCTCGACATTCCAGCCCTCCTCATACTTGAGCTTCATCGAGTCCACCGACACCCTGCCGCCCAGCACCTCACGCCTGACGCGGCTCCCCTTCGCGAACCCGAACCAGCGGCGACGTCCACGACGCCGGGGGGATCGCTCCCTCACCGGCTCTCTGTCAGCCTCGCCGTAGTTGAGCCCCATGGCTGTCAGGTCCTCCTTTGGGATGTCTTTCCCTCGACGCCCCCGACCCACCCTCTTGCGTGGTTGGGCTGGAGCGGTGGCAAGGGTCAGCAGGATAGTTTAGATTGGATCGGTGCTGCTCCACGTTTTCAAGCGGCCATAGATTTCAAGTCCCCACTACCACGACCACCGTGCTCAGCAAGTAGTTCGTGAACATATCAAGCACTGCCCAAAGGCCTGTTGCCGGCTGCATCACTCCACTCCTGCAAAGCTCGTTCTTTGTGGCCAAGTGGGCTTCTCGACGTGAGGCCAACAGCCCGAAGAAGAAAAAAAAACGAATGCCGACACGCCAGCCCATCACAAAGCACCAACAACTCCACACACCAGATTCACAACAGCAGAGCGCCTACTGCTGTACAAGGACACGCCAGCCTATCGCAAGGCAGATATTCAACACAAACAGCAGAGCGCCTTCCGCTGAACAACGCTAACATCCCAAGACTCACCATCGCCAGCCGCCGGCCCGCTGTCCGCACCGTACTCCTTCTGCGCCGCGTAGAACGCCTCGATCTCCCTCGGATCCAACCCACCCATCGTCGCCCCAGCCGCAGGGGCAGCAGGGCTCGAATGCGCCGCCCCCGACGACCCCAGCGGAGACGGCGAATACCCTTCCGCGGGCGGTGGCATCTGCCCTTGGAACGGTTTTGGCGGCGGAGGCGGCGGTGCAACTTCTTCGGGTATCGGAGACGGGGGTCCAACGCCACCACCACCAACACCATCACTACCGCTCCCAGCCGCGTCCCAGGCCACCCCCTGCCGTTGTACCCCTCCCTCGCCGTCTCGCAACTCTGGGGAGACGGGAGAGGGGACCGGGGGCGGCGGGGGTGGGTACGCAGCGGTCGCAGGCGGGGACGGGGGGGACGATACTCCACCAGCTTCGCCCAGGCCCTGCTGCTGCTGCTGCTGCTGCTGCTGCTGCTGCTGCTGCTGCTGCTGCTGCTGCTGCGACAGCGCCTGTGCAGAAGAACCTTGGGAGTTTGTCTGCCACGAATCTCCCTGGTTCACCCCGCCCGCGGCCTGTACACCCCCCCACTCCCCAATGCCCTGCCCATAACCGGAACCCCTACCCCCGCTGTTCCAGCCTCCATCCCCAATGCTTCCCGGGGAGGCTCCGTACGATGAACCTCTCCCTTGAGGGTACCCCCTTCCTCCGCGACCCGGGTCGCGAGCCCCCAGAGGATACCGCCCGCCCCCTCCCCGGCTGCGGCCGCCACCTCTGCCCCTGCCGCTACCACGGCCACCGTTAACTGGGGTCGAGCAACAACACATGCACGCAGCAAAGGTAAATCAGGCAAGGGGAAGAATGGGGTGGCGCATTCACCAGAGAGCTTAGCTATATAAGGCGACATAAAGCGACACACAGCGTATACTGCAGGGACAATTCCGTTTTACTATATTGAAGACAAGAACATGGTGCTAAAGCACCCATAGCATCATTCCTTCACATGCATGCACAACACTCGGTACCCTTTCGACCGACCGATCACCTCGCTTCCGTCGGTTGTCGCTTTTCCGGCCGACGGTGAAGAGCTTCTTGAAGGTGCCCTTGGCCGCGGACACGCTCTCAGACCAGCGACCTCCCTCCACGGCCGTGACTCTCTCGGACATGAGGGACCCCTAAATAGATGTTTCCGAGAAACAGAGGGACACCATGATTGGATGATTGGATGATTGGAGTAATAGTCATTTTGAGACAAGAAGAGCTCAGGTCAGGGAAAGCCCCAAGACATTCCTTTCTAGCGACAACAACGTCCGAGCAGTTGAAGCGTCCCAGAGTTGTCGGCAGGAACAACAAAGAAACGACGCTTTCCAGGCATTTCTCAGGTTGGTCCGTAGCATTCAAGTTTTCGGGCATACTGTAGCCCATGCATGTAGGACGTATGTTTTCGGTACTGCTGTCACTAATCCCCGATCATCAGACGATAAGCTGAACAGCACGCTAAGGGGTTTCGAAGTGCTCACCCACTCGTCTCTCGCCCCACCACCTGGCCGCGCCGAGCCTCTCCCTCCAGTAGGGCGGTAAGGCTGCCGTATTCCCGGCAATAACGGACAGGACACAGATCGCGCAATGATGGTGAGACCGTAGAGAGCCAGCGGCGGCAATGGGGCGACAACCATCAAACTTCAACGTTACACTTCCAAGCAATCAGAGGCGGACACGTGGGCAGCGCAGTACATCGTCTTTGAACGACGGTCACAGGCAACAAATTTGCCCATGTACGGTGTTGGGGCTCCACCAACAGCGGTCGCATGCATGAAGTAAACGCCGACCTCAAACCGAACCCTCGCGAGCGTGAGATGCGATTGGCCGAGCCGAGGAACAAACAGCCGCGTCATGTACCTCTTCCTCGGAGTCATCCCCCCACAACTGTGATGATGCAGCTGCCCTGTAGTCATACCCCCCTTCTTCTGAGGTGTCATCGTCTCCCCGACGACCCCCCCCACCCCCCCCACCCCCCCCACCCCCGTCCTCGCTTGCCCCCCCCCCCGCTAGCGCTCCGCCGAAGGTGCCGCCACCAGCCCCGAGCACGCTGGACAACGCCTGCGGGGGTCCTCCCGCCCCCCATTGCACCTGGGAGTCTGGGGATGTCGTGCGTAGAGTTTCACGGAGGCTATATCATGGTTGGGTTGTTGAACCACGACAGGTACTTTTGAACCGCCGTGCTGTCGGCTACGTTATCTCTCTTCTCACGCTCATCCCATGGGTCTGACTTCTCCAAAATCTCAAACATCGCACACTTGAGTTTCGACACAAACGCCTTGTCTAGTGTTTGAGCAGCGTATCGTTAAGCGCAGGTACTCTCCTTGCTGCACGCTGCCATTGAATTGGACCCGATCTCGGGGCAGTCTACCGCATGAAGAGGGGGGAACGGAGATAGATTCTTTGCGAATTAGTGGGACAGACGTGTAGGCCTGTCCTCCATCGGCCGTTTTATTTTCGATTTAGATACAAAAACTTTATTTCTATACTAATTTCAAGTAATTCCACCTTCTTATTCTCCGTCATACAAGCAAAACGGCCGATGGAGGACAGGCCTACCACACAGCAGTATTTCATGCGGCGGAATCTCAACTCAAGCCTCGAATTTCAGGACAGAGGACACAGGTAGTAGTCCCCTTTCCTGCGTATCGATGCCATTGGCACGTGCGAACTGCAACACGCGCACTCCCTCAGATAGAGCTGCCCATCACACGTGGATGTGTGTCTTACGGCAACAAACGCTCATGATCATGACACAACGTGAATCCGGCGGTTGTTTTGTTTTCTCCGAACGTCTGTCTGCCCTCTCACCTGCAGACACATACCCGGCTCTACACCACTCCCCTAGCTGAGAAAGACCATACGGCCCCTGAGAAGAACCGTCCGGCGCTCGCAGATACCAATTGGACCCTCCCCCACCTCCTCCTCCCTGTGCTGTCACAGCTCCCGCTCGCTCTAGGGTAGCGAAAGCTGCAAGAGCAACGGCTGCAAGCGACACGTGTAGGTATGCGTACTTCATCTTGATACCTGCGGCCAGTTTAATAAGTCTGCTCTGGCGCGCTCATCCTTGCACCTCCGGTCCAGAGATTACTTCCAGGGGCCCAAACTGCAGCCGGAAAGCTGTTGAGCAATGTTGGAATCAAGCTACAGCAACAGCAGTACGTAGATGGTACCAAGCACGGCGCGCACTGGCCCTCTGGGGAGCCCGCAGTTAAGAAAATCTGCTACACTCTTCCACTGCGTATCCTACGGTGCCCCCGGCCGCAACGGCAACAAGAATTGCGACCAGGGCTGCCTGAGCGCATCTGTGTTACTAGAGGGCCGTTGTGAGGTGCAGAGCCAAGGTGAGCTGGGAAGAGCGAGTCGGCATCCTATTCGGTCTAGGAGTCGCGAAGCCTCGAGAGCTACTCTGCAAAGAACTAAGAATTGCGAAAACCACGTAGGCCGCTTTTGACCCCCCGCCCCCACGGAAGGGGCGAGCCCTCCTACTACAGAGCGTGCAACCGCTTCGCGACGTTTGCGTGCCTCTCACTCACGCTGTCGCCGAGCCCTGAGGTCACCTCATTTTTGTGCAGAACGTAGAGTACTTTCCTTGAGTATCTGTTGTCTACTGGTCGCGCCAAACCAACGCTGTCAGATCCTGTGACATGATGTCTCTCGTTGCAGGCCGGCGTCCTTCAACAGATCACAGCTCACAGGCCCCCTCTGCTGGCATGAAAGCGGGCCATTAACTGCTCTTTAACGGCCAAGCGGTACACGCCCTCCACCTGACAGAATGCTTGCCACCAAGGAGCCAATGCCTCCGTGAAAATATCACAAAATATTCGTCCAATCCCACATGATCTTCGATGCTCCGTTCACTACACACCCCTCTGCGTAGCTGTCATGAACATCAAAGTCACGTGATCGACACAACAGTATTTGGCCCTGCTGTGCCTGTTTCCCTGCCGTTTTCCCCCGCACACACGGGATTATCAGTTCCAATAATCTCTGGGTGCTTCTTGGTGAAGGTTCTGGGTCTCGCGGGCCTCGCACGAATGCCGCATGAGCGGAAAGGGCTCAAACGCCCGCTGCCCTGCAGCGACACAACCTCAACGTCGGGCTGCCCGTCGCCATCACCTTGCTCCAGCGTTGCCTCTCGGCCTCGCGACGATGCTGCTGTAGGCGCAGGCACGGAAGAACGGCCTCCACCGCGATGGCACAATCGATGCACACGCAGGCCGCAGCGGCAACTTCGGCAGGGGACATCTTCGCAGCAGCAGCAGCAGCAGCAGCAGCAGCAACAGCAGCAACAGCGATGCCGCGTCCAACACGCGGCCGACAAGGTCTGCGGCTCTTGCCGACGAAAGAATAACACCTCCGCCGCCGCACCCAGTAGCCTTCGCCTCGCCGGGGTAGTCGGCATCCACGTCCTAGGCTTCATGGCCTGCCCCTGTCAAGGTTTCACGCCGCCAAGCCTTAGCACTGGCATCACTCCCCCCTTAGCAGCGGACGGGCAGCAAAGTAGATTGAACACCCCGGACTTCGAAATGCGGTCGGGTGTTGTCGACAGTGACATCAGCGCCCGGGGATTGGTCCCGAGCCTGAGCGTGGGCGCCGCAGCAGGCGGTAGCCTGAGGGCAGCGAAGGGCCGGCGAAGACATAGGGGGGGTAGCAGAAGATTCGGGAGTGGGCTAGAGGGGGACGGCGATGCTTCCGGGGTTTGCCGCGCGACGCGACTGCCAAGCGCGGAGGAAGGCCCGCCGATCGGCCTGCTGTACGACAGGGGGCTGTTGGAGGCAAGCGCTGCTGCCCAGGGCGCTGACAACACCAACAGCAACAACAAGAGCAGATCTCGAGACGGTGTCGACAGTGCTAACGGCGGCGTTGACGATAGCGGCGGCGAGGCAGTGGCAGCGGCCAAGGGCAGTGCGATGGGGACGGGCGGGGGAGGAGGCGAAGAGGGAGGCAGGTCTGCTGCTCCTGCTGCGTCTGCCCCTCCTGTAGCTCCCGCGGTGGAGATGGTCCGTGTTGAGTCCACGGCCTTGCAGGCCGAGAACAGTATCGCGCAAGACGCGACGGACACGCAATGGGGGAATGTCGTCGGTGGAACGGGAGCGACGTCGGGGGCAGCTGCTGCACAAGCAGCAGCAGCAGCTGGTGGGTTGTCCAGGGGCGAGGTCGCAGCGCCAGCCCCCCCTGCCAGGCGCAAGAAATGGTCGGGAAAAGGGTGGCTGGTTTCGAGGGCAAAGGAAGAAGCGGAGGGAAGGACGAAATCACAGAACCGAGCGGAGGCCACGGACGCGGGGCTATCGTCCATGGCAGTGGACGACGACGAGGGGACTTCGATGGTGCCAGCCGTGGCTGCGGTGGAAACCGACCGGGATGCTTGTCTGAAGGATACAGACCTCGTCAACGGTAAGGATCGGGGGAGGAGGGAGGTTGATACGAGGAACAACCTTGCTGTAGCTGGAGCGGACCCTAGCGATCGGAGTGATGACAGCGACAACGATAGTAGTAGGGCGGTTGTAGTGGAGCCACCAGCGTCGTCTTCTACCTCTGCTGCTATAACTGCTGCTGCTGCTGTTGCTGCTGCGACGAGTCTGCCATCTGTGGATGAGAAGAGGGAGGGAGAGGACGCAACATCACTAGCGAACGCTGCTGCTGCTGCTGCTGCTGCTGCTGCTGCTGCTGCTGCTGCGGGCGGGGGCACCGAGTCGCTGCTTGCCGACGAGGAGGACACGTCAACGGGGTTGGGGGACACTGGAGGAGGCGTTTGCGCTACGGCGAAAGAGGAGCTGGCCCTCTACCTTCTCGAGGCGGGCGCGACCGACGATCTGGTGGCGATAGCGACCGCGGCGCTGTTTGCCGCCGAGCCGCGCTGTTCGCTGACGGAGGGTACGTGGAAGCGGTGGCGGCAGAACTTGGACGGGTTAAGATCGAAGGGGTTTTCAGGTGGGTCATGCATGCGAGTTCGCACAGGATGTCGATCCACACCAAGGGTAGCAGGGGCGTGCAATTGCTTTTTTTAGTTTGTTTTCGCTCCGGAGGACTACGTCTAAGGTTCCCTTTGCTGTTGTTGTTGTGACTCCGCACAAGTAGTTTGTGGCCGAATCGTTTCGTTCTCCATAAAACTTCCTGGTTCTGGTATTGGCATTGGCTTTGCTGCTGCTGTTGGTTTTGGTATTGATGTTGGCATCGGCGTTGTGGGTCTTTTGTAACGGAATCGTCTAATGCCGGTCAACCTTGCTGCTTTTAGTGTTGGCGTTGGCGTTGCTGCTGATGCTGGTTTTGATACTGGCTTGTCGCTTAGGGTTTGTCAGACCGGGTCCGTAGGCACGTCGTTTCGGTGATGGTGTATGCGTACATTGCCTTGGTAGGTCGGGCAACGGAACTGCTGCATGCCTGAATTGTCATGAGTATTTAATGTGGGGTTCATGTTCGTTCCGCTTCTTGTGGTTATATCACACCATTCCTCCCCCTTGCCTTCTGTGATGATTTGGTTGATGCTACGGCATGCGATGATACGTCGCTCTCCAGCGGCTGACGTGTGCAACATGCTGGCGCTGTGCCCGCAGCTGCTGGCGCTGGATTTCGAGGGTCAGGTGAGAATGAGGATGAGGACGCAAGTACCATCGTAGAACGAGACCTTGGGGCATAAGCAACCCACACACCGTACCCCTTGCCGTAGTTCAGATTCGCCATGATTTCGTCTTCTGTCTTGGGCCAATGAATGTGCACAACTGCCGTGCATCGGTCTGGGCGGCCCACAACGGTCCTATCGAAGCTGTATAATGCTTGTTTGATCGGTCGTGAATAATTGATGGGTACTTGAATTATTTTCACACAGGTGGTGCCAACGATGGAGCTGCTGCGGCAGCTGGGAATGCGGCCAACGGATGTGCGTCGCGTGATCAGGAAGGCGCCGGAGGTGTTGGCTCCACGGCCGGATGGGAGCACAGCTGCGGAAGCTGTAGACGTGAGTACAGGCGCGCGCGGGGGGG